TGGTAGGGTGTTTAATTTGTGATGTGGAAGTACCGGGTTTGATTCTCGTTCACAGCATCAAACCTAAGACATAAACATAGATAGTGACTGTTCCTTCACCAAACATCCAGCATTAGAAGTCAAAGTTACAGCTTTTTCAGATGAGAAGAACTGAGGCCCCATATCACAGTAGATGTTGGCACGATAAAGAACCCTCACTGTTCAATGGCCTGAGTGCCAAGTAAGGTCTAAATGTGAAGCCCTTCATGGTATGTTGTGTTGTTTCTACATCAGTGAAATATTCTTGATTGGATGTAAAACAGCAAACAATCAATTTCTTTTCATTATTCCTATCTAGATTGTAACACAAGTTCTGATTGGTTAGCAGGCCAGGTGTAAATTTCTGTACACATGGCTCCAGCTTGGGTAAATAATGTGACGTCATAATGTATTGTTTCTCTAGCACAAAAAGCAAATAACATGACATCACAATCATGACGATGCAGCGTAGCCCAAAGTAAATCTCACCAATTATTTGAAACACCATTGATAAGACTTGGGTTTACAAAGAATTTATTCGTTACATAGGAAATAATTTGTTATTCAGGTCCAATCAAGTTTGTATGGGGTGTACGGCCTTCTGGTGTATGGTATAAAACCCGGGGTGAAATCCACGTACACCCTTGATTGAACCTAGATAATATTTAGTTATCTAGCTCCAATCAAGGGTGTATGGGGATTTACCCCGGATTTTATTCCAGACACCCTGAGGCCGAAGGGTGTATGGAATACAACCTAGGGTAAATCCCCGTACACCTCTGATTGGACCTGGATACTTCGGCCTCAGGGTGTCTAGAATAAAACCCAGGGTAAATCCCCATACACCATGATACACCCTTGATTGGACCTGGATAACAAATTTATTTCCTATGTACCCAAATAAATTCTTTGTAAACAAGTCCAATCAACTGTGTTTCATGCTATCGATAAGATTTACTACATCCTACAATGCATCATGACGTCATGTTTGCTTTTTATCATAGAGAAACTATGCATTGTGACGTCAAGTTTTTTACCCCCAGCTCAAGTTGGGTGTACAGAAATTTACACCCGACTTTGTAACCAATCAAAGCTTGTGTTACAAGCGACATAGGAAATATCTAATATTACAGCTTTTAGTTATTAGCGAAAGTAAAGAATTCTGATTATTATCATTGTTTACAAATTGTTTTATACATGTAAGAAAATGAACTGAAAAAAATAATAACAAAATTTCTAACAAGTCCTGTCACCTGTTACTTGGTGAGAAAAATTTCGGACTAACCCTAGTTTCAAAAATTTATCCAACTCCCATCCCTAAAATTTATTTCAAACTTTCATATAAAACATTTCCAATTTTTTGCTGTTTATATACATTGTACACTGATCATGAAATATACCTGAGAAATTTAATTAAGCTGCAGGACTTTTTACATGTGTTACAGAATATAAAATTCTGACATATTGCAATATTTAAAGTATTTTGGATAGTGTATTGTTGAACCTATGCCTTTTTGTTTTCAAGAATAAAGTGGCAAAGTTGCTAAGAGTATTTTCTCATTTTGTTCTAGAGTTGTGAAATGATAGTTTCAGGCTAATACATTTTCATTCTGAATAATAAAACTTATGGCTATAATTAGTCCAAATGGACGTAACCCTTTATACTTCCAGTTCATAGGTTCAAATCCACTGAGTGACAAAGATACAGATCCTATGGATAAAACCATATAAAACCAGGTCTCGTGTTTCAGTAGGTGCTGGCATAGGTGCTAGGAAGAGTGAAACCGCGAGTGAACTAAAAATAAATTTGGATACCTAATTAGTTAACTTAATTCAATGTAGGTCCCCTGCTTGGCACAGGGGTAAAAGCGAATGCTCTAGAGTCACCGAGTAAGGACTTGATCCTTATGTCGCAGGTTCGAATGCCACTGTGGGACGTGGAGACAGGTCCTTGGATGAGACCGTATAAACCAAGGTCCTGTGTCGCAGTAGGTGCTGGCACGAAAAAGATCCCTCACTGCTCAATGGTCCTGAGTGCCGAGCATATGTCAAAACCTGCAGCTCTCCACCGGCAAGCGGTGGTGTCTCCATATGAGTGAAAAATTCTTGAGAGGGACGTTATACAACTAACAAACAAATAATTCAATGTAGTTTACACATACCATAATAATTATCATGATTATGTCATTCGCTGTTTACAAGCTGGTATAACCGACTTCACACCGAATTTCATACAAACTATTAAATCACTGCCAAATAGTTACGACATCAGCGATTATAGCTATATTTAGAGTATTCACTGCCATGACTGTGAAATTTACACAGCCCATGAAAACTATCCATTAACAAACCTACAAGTTTTTGTTTAATTTTCATTTGGGTCTGCCATGTACTACCCAACATACGGTTGCATTGTGCTCAAAATAAATTTCATAACCACACTCCACAAAGAAAACGAAGTTTGGTATTCTATGTAATATACACAATTTTTTTTCTTAATCTAATCACCATGATCACTGAAACTGAACTGTACCATCTGAATTTTACAACTTATAATCAATTATTTCAAATTCTTTGTGAAATAAAATCTAATAAAGTATCAATTAGCATGACAAACTATAGTAGTAAAAGTTGGATAATATCATCAAAGTGTTTACAGTTTGAGTCTGTACTATAAAATAGATAACATCAGCTGATCAGTGTATTACATGTATGTCATGTGCGTGTGGCATTTATCAATCTGTGTATATTCCAAATAATTTAATTACATAAAAAAATCTTACCTTAATTCTTTTGAATCGTTCATACTTCACAGGAATGACATAGACACTATAACACATCACTGATAACTCTTTTCTTACTCGTTACACAAATACTCTGTCGTCAGAATTTCCTCGCAATCGCACACAAGATCTTCAGTTTAAAAACTCAGAATAAATCCTTCTTTACACTAATGCTCCATATACGTATTCAGAAATGTTAATCTGCACATAAGCCTAGCTGCGGATTGAATAATGCATGCCTTCATACGCAATCAATGTCAAACATACAGTGCGAATTTTTGGTTCGTTGACAAATGCCGCCATGCTGGTCCCCTACCCACAATGCCGTTGAATGTTTACATCCAGTGCGATCGAACCAAAACATTTGCGATATTGTAACTTAGGAATTAGATAGGTGTTAAAAGTGACAAATATATAGGCACATTTCAGTACCAGCATGACAGAAAGCCGTCATATAGTAATAATTGTATACATTTAGGTCCTGACATGGCATGTACGCGATGATTTATTTTTAGTTTGTAGACAACTTGTTCTTATATTTACATGAAATTCATCTCGCTAAAAAAGCTTTAAATAAAGCATGATTTTTTTTCTTTTTATGGCAAATAAAAAGATTTAGTATTCTAGATAGTATGAAATAAGAATTTTATAGCAAATGTCAACATTTTTAGCTATTTCAAAAAAGACATTTATGATGTACTGACCCCTAAATATAAGGGCCAGCCCCTTTTTCTTGATTTCATCTGAAAGCCCTTGTTATTTCACACAACTCTTCTTCTATATGTCTTAGCAAAATATTTTGAGTTTAAAAGTTATTAGACAAAAAGCAACAAAATTTAATGAAAAAAAATTCTTAAAATTTGCCATCAAATAACATACAAATTTGAAAAGTTTAGCCAATATTTTTAACGACTTAGTCAATTACAATACGTTAGCTACATTTTCTTAAAATTTTCATACAACTATCTTACGTAGTTCCCAAGATCTCAGCCGGACACAAGACCCTCCAAATATCAATTAAAGGGCAATAACTCTTAAATAAAGGCGTAAATCAAAAAATTGAAAAAACCGTTTTTAGGCCTTAACATAATGTTTCTTTCCTGAACGTTTCATAAAAATCAGGCGAAAAATCTCCGAGAAATCAGCTGACAAAAATTTGCGGGAAAAAAAAAATAAGAAGAAACAGTAGAATAACAGAAGGGTCTTCCGAAGCGGAAGCTCGGAAGACCCTAATAATAAAAATAGTGGAAAAGAAACCTAATAATAACAAGAAGGTCTTCCGCTGAAGACGGAAGACCTTAAATAGAGGAAAAGAAACCTAAGAATAACAGTAAGGTCTTCCGCTGAAGTCGGAAGACCTTAATAATAGAAAACAGACGGAAAACAATAAGGTCTTCCGAAGGAAGTCGGAAGACCTTAATGAGATATAATAATAAACATCATGCTACACTGATGATGTGATACAATTGTCATGGTATTACAATTAAATGGATCAATATATTACTGTATCATAACATCTCTAGTAGGGATGGATAATGGTGTAATTTTGTTACTTTGATCAGGAGAATAGTGATTATAAGAACAGGTAGTTGTGATACAGGAAGGTCCAGCATCAAAATGCTAGTGCCTTATAGCAGTGTCCTAGTGCATTATTCATTAACCATATTATGTAACTTTGTATTTTGAGAAATTTAAGCCCTTAAATTTTACATATTCAGTACTTATAATATGGAGAGACTAAGCACAAATTTAACGTTAAGGGATATTTTACAATATTTGATAATTCAGTTTTTCAAATACAGATTTCATACTCAGTAAATACATTGAAAAAAAAATTGAAGAAAAGCATTTATGTATGGAGTCATTCTTTCCAAGGTCAACCCTGCAAACTTCAGTTCTCTAACTAGGTCCAAAGAACCAGAAATTGTTTTGGTCATATGTTCAAAGGTTAAGGTCGGAACATCAAGACTAATGATGTGAATGCTGCAGGCCTTAGAATATATAATTCTGGCTGACAATATCTGTGTGTTAAATATTCTATTCAGTCAGTTGTGTGTCGTGTCTCTTTGAAAAGGAGACTTATTGTACTTTGTATCATTCTTTATTTCAGCTGAGTCCAGTGTTTCTGTTGGAGATAAAATTGGATGGGGAGTGATTTTTCCTGACAGTGAACAAAAAAAAAAAAACAAAACAAAACAGGAAGACCGTCTTATAATTTGTTATCTGTGTATAAACCTGACTGTTGTACTGACACGAGTCATCTACGAGCCTCCGGGAGGAGTTTATCCAATCATAATGCTCCGCAGAGGTGGTAAGTCATGTGATTTGGTCATGTGACCAGGTACTTTTATAACTGGTCTATGTGCTTTAACTTACTATAGTATTCCAGTACAATGGATGCAGTGCAGTGTATTACTCAGACAAATTGTATAGATGCAGTATACGATGCAGAATGTAAAAATACTTTATACAGCTAAACACATTATTCTACAGTAAACACACTTATAATGAACTCAATCTTATAGCGAAGTGATTTTCATTAACTGTACTGTAAAGAGGTATTATGAAGTTATCTGGTATAGCAAAATATGTTAATTACTAGTAATAAAAAATCAAATTTATTCCTCCGTGGTACTTCGCTATAAACCCTGATAAATGTGTTTTACAGTACAGTGTACAAACTACTTAATAAATGTACATCCTTTGTATGATCAAATTTATTTACAAATTAAATAATTCAGTAATATAATTATTTTAACAGTTTATGTTTCTGTATATGTCGGTGTAATGAACTTGGTAATTTCTATAATTTCAGCCAATCGTGTGAAGCTCGGAACTATTATCCACATCCATACGCATCCCATAAAACCTGAGGTCCACAGGGAGCTATTCCAGGAGGCAAAAGAACTCATAGAGGAGGAAAAGCGGGTCACAGCAGAAGGGGGTGACCCACATGAAATGAACATTGATAAAAATCTTTTCAAGGCATTTTTGCTAGAAACTCCGGACTCCAAACGGGACAATAAAAACCCTGCAAAAGTAGCCACCGTTATCATGGCAGCCAATGCATTCCAGCGGAAAAAGAAATCTGTCAGTTGTGTGTTGCTATGACAATGAGCTTGATAGATGACAGGTCCTTAAGTGCATTAATTAGATTGACCCATTGTTGATTAAGGATTTTTTTGTACAAAACAGGGTAAACATTTCTCAGCTTTAATCTATAGAGCTGTTTATAAGCAAAGAAACAGATTTGTGATGTGAATACTGTAAAATGTGAAAATTTACCATTATGAAGCGAAATCTGTAAGCTGTAAGATGAATAAGATGTACATACAAAGTCATCTGTTCATGGAAGGTATTTACCTGAAAAAGTAACCTACTGTATATTTAAGTTGAAACACCACACTTGTAAATTTTCACATTTGCAGTAGTCACATGTAACTTTATGTATATATTTTTTTTATTGACTAACATGTAGAATGTCATGTGACTTTTAATGACACAATTTCAAATGTTCAGCATTAACCAGTGAATTACCTGTGCTCAATACTGTTATAACATGTTCATATATATTGTTATGTACAGTCATTAATTTATATATTTGTATATTGTTATGTCCATTTAACATACAACCTGCAACAATAATCTAAAAGACTGTTATTAAATTTCCAGGTCTACGTTTTACTATAACATTACTGTTTTGTTAAATAACTGTATATTGATGCTCTGATCACCAGATGAATTAAATCATCAGGAATTTAATATGCTTTGATTGGTTAAGATTTTTTCAAACTCATCTCAGAGTGACCAGGGGAAAGATGTATGTAGTGCAGATTGACATCATGGTAAATATAAAGCTCTATTTAAAATTAATTTGTTAAGGAAAGAATAAAAACCAGTAGACCTTTTCACCAAAACGTCTTACAATAAATTTCCATCATAAGAAAAATCTTATGAGTTTATTAATTTTCACAAAAATTCTTAGAAGATTCTTTCTCGTAAAATTTGAGCCTCAACCTCTTGTAAATATTTTAGAGCCGATTTTAAAGTGATAATAATCAACTTATATCCATAGCTCCCTTTCTAAGGGGAAAATTCTTCAAAATCATGTGTCAGTTGAGTCCTTCATGTGGCCTTCAATTGAACATTTAGATAAAGTGACGATGTATTATCAATTAACAATAGTTACTTTCATTCATATGTCGAATCGATATTTCCCAGTGAACTTAAAATGAAAGACAGACTCTGCCACATCTGTTTCATATTTGTTTGTTTTACTAGCTATAGACGTTAAGGGCTAACTAGCAACTAAATTGTATGACGAACAAGTTGATACCACATTTACCATCTTCAACATTAATTATTAATGAGGCAGTATCCCACTATCACCTGCATAAGGTGTTAACATTTCCCAACTCATTCGATACTCAACAGCATGGTCCAATATACGATCAGTTTTTAAAGCGAGGCAGGCTGCTAACAGATAACGATGTTACAGGGATTTTTTAAAAAAAAAAAACCGTTTTAAGTCAGCATTTCGTAAATTCTATGGTCATTATAATGATCTTGTTAGCAAATATAACCTATCATTGGGTCGTAATTAGACTGACTTGTTTCATACCAATTGTAATTGTTTTTATACTGAATTTAACTACGGAATGTTCTGTCTACCTAATTAAAACAAAGGGATCACGGCGGGTGTGACTGGTGAAAAGGGGATGCTTACTCCTCCTAGACACCTTATCCCACCACTGGAATTTCCAGGGGTCCGTACTTCGTGCCCACTTCCCAGATTTGTATTTTTTATAGAATTATTGAGGTCGATCACTGTTCGTTATCTTCACCATTATATTTTAAATATTTTTATTATACAATTAAATTGAACATTGGACTTTTGAGCTTGAATACTACTCGTTATCTCCATATTTTCATTGAACTAGAATTACCATACTTATACTGGATTCCCAAACTACTCAAAACTCCTTACAAACAAAGACACATATCGGGTTCCAGTAAATGTTCTACCAAGCCTCTTTCTTTACTTCTCACTAAAATACTCGTATTAAAAGATAGCAGTGAAGGAGAAAAATCAGGAGTACTGTACTACAATATATTCCACTCCTCACTAAAATAATAACAGATAGTGGTGAAGGAGGAATTTCAGAAGTACTGTACTACAATATATTCGAGAAATGATGTTAATCAGGTGTAGAGATTTAAAATTTAAAACTCCAAGGAACTGTTAGAAAATTTGAATGACAAAATTTTACTTAAATTAACATTTAGACAATCCAGTGTAAAAGCAATTGCCTAACAATTTGTTTGAAAAAAAAAAAAACGTCAGTCAACATTCAACTTTTTAATAGATTATATTCGCTGACAAGGTCATTGTATCGACCATAGAATTTGCGAAATGTTGCCTTTCAACGAGATTGCTGATATTCCTGTATCATCAACTTATTTGTCAATACCTTTCGTCGTTTTAGAAATTGTTCGTACAGTCCCTGAAACGTTCTACTTTCCCACTTGAACGGTGAGCGAACGCTGAACGAACGGTGAACGAACGCTGAACGAACGCAGAGCGAACGGTGAGTGAACGATGTGTGAACGCTGAACGCAACTTGGTGAACGATGTGTGAACGCTGAACGGTGAGCGAACGCAGAACGCGAACGGAGCGCAAACGCGAACGCAAAGTGAACGGTGAACGAACGGTGAACGCAAGATGAACGATATATTCGGAATGCCTCTGATCTTTTCCTTGCATTGAAACTATTTTATTGTATTATAATGTCAGGTGTCAAAAAAAACCAAATAATAAATAAGTAAACAAATAAATGAATGAATAAATAAGTCAATAAAATAAATTCTCCAAAATTGTCCTAAGAAAGACGATGCATGCACATTAAGTTTTTAATCACACGATTTTTATCGCATTAAAACATTGCAATTGTTGCCGAACGCTGAAGTATAAAAGATATTGTTTTTAGTTGGAAAATAAAAATGTTTATTCTTAGTTGATAACAAATCAGAGAAAACTTATGATTTATAGAATGAATTAAAGCGGTTGTAACTTATATTCATATATATATATATATATCTCCGTGTCAAGGCGATTTCGTGTAAAGTAATAAAAAAAAAATTAATTACATTTATACCCTCGTATTTTAAATTTTTAATACAATAATATATTATGTGTCATTTCTATTTTTCAATATGATTTATTGAGCAGACGTCTACATGTATCTCCAGATGGCCGTGATTATACTCGGACAAGATGATACAAAGATACATATTCATATTATTTGTTATAAATTCAATTTTCAAAACTTGATATTTAAGTAATATGGTGTTATAGTTTTTATTAAACAGACAAATGAGAGAGAGAGAGAGAGAGAGAGAGAGAGAGAGTAATATTCAGTTTTAGCCCCCCCCCCCCCCTCCATTCAGGCTTCATCAAATGTTTGTACCAATATCAAACAAAAACTCTGAATTTTTTTTTCTAAATATATCAGACAGTGAAAGTAACTCTTTTTTTTTTTATCAACAAATCATATCCATTTGTTTGACAGTCATACTCGTTTTTATTTTCCTGCTTCAAGTTCACACGAAGTCCACGTGCTTGTCCTGTCAATCAAAATCATTCGACACTGTGCAAGTGTGAAAGTTTCGTCACATCGAAGACAAAGTGCGAGTATTTCCAACAAGTTATAACATTTATTTTTATCATTTCTAGATTTGATTCCAACATTTGAATAATAAATTAGTAAAAATACATTGGGCATTAACACTTGAATGTGAAACATACTCTCTGCGAATTTCAAATACCACCGCCGACACGTGTACATTTTGATCTACTATTGTTTTGTGACTTTTTTAGATGCATGTTTGTTTTGAGACTGAAATTTTTGTTCTAAAAAAGACCGTAGCTTTTTGTTAATGTTAATTTAAATATTCTGGAAATACGGTACTGACTAAGTAACCGATTTAGGCGGAAATGGGGGGGGGGGTTATTAATCATATATAAAGTTACGGTGAAGAAAGATTTTTTTCTCTATAACTATATACTTTACATATTATAGTAGAGAAATTCTGTAGTGCATTACATTTTAAATAAATATTTCCTTTAACCACACTATCAATTTAATTCGTTCTAAAGATAATAAATTAACAGGATATCCGCAGTACTATGTATAACTCTCAGAACTAGTTCTATTATATTTTGTAACAACATTTATTTTCCAGAGTAATTTAATAAATAACTTAACAGCTAAGTTAGAATAATAAAAATATATATCGTAGATATTTTTCCTCATGAAATAATGATTCTTCAAACACGATATGCTAGTTAATAAATTAAAAAAACCTGTAACTCCTTAACTACAAAAAGATAAGTCCTTTCACTTCGGAGTTCCGAATGACAATGAAAACTGAACGATAGGTGAACGCTGAACGCAAGGTGAACGCAAAGTGAACGGAACGAAGAGCGAACGCTGAACGCTTTGTGAACGGTGAACGCGAGCGCACGGTGAACGGTGAACGCAAAACTGTGAACGGAGAGCGAACGGTGAACGCACGGTGAACGAACGGTGAACGCACGCTGAACGAACGGTGAACGAACGGTGAGCGAACGGAAAAATGGGAAAGTAGAACGTTTCAGGGACTGTACATAGAGAATCGCATCTACTTGGGTATCGAACCAAATGGGATACATTAACTGCATATGCAGGTGATAATGGTATATTGATTCAAAATTTAGGGAAGTTGATGATAGAAAAGTTTAAGTCATGACGTTTGTCATAAGTACTAGGTTACCATTAACGTCTTTTTCTAGTAAAATATCTGAATATGATACAGATGTGTCATAATCTGTGGTATCTTTTTATTCCAAGCTCACCGGGATTATCGTGTCGACATAAGAATGGAAATAACCATTGTTAATTGACAATACGTCGTCGATATATCTTATTTACTTATTTAGTTTCGTTGTTTTTTTTTTTTTTGTTTTTTGTTGTTTTTTTTTTTTTTTGCACTCTTTTATTTCTTTTTCATTATATTGTATAATGGGAATACATACTAAGTAATAATTTTTATGTATAATTTTATCTTTTTCATCTCTTCCTTTTTTTAGTTTACAATAGAAATCAATATAACTTATGACGAATTATTTCATCATTGTAAACCATTGTCAGTTCTTAACATTTGTAACCTTGACCTTCTTGGAGAGGACTTATATAGGCTATGCCTGATATCGAATGATGTAAATTGACTTTACATAATAAAATAC